CCGACAAACGGACTAGACAAACACGACCAAAAACTTCTGAATATGCTCAATCTAGCAGCTCGTAGGGCACTGGCACAATACTGGATAAAACCAGAGACACCCCCACTTTCATTAGTAATTTCCAAAATCAGAGATAATTACTTAATGGACAAGATGACAGCTACCGTTCAGAACACTACCACCAAATTTCAAAAGGTATGGGCCCTTTGGGAACAATATGAGGAAGAATCATAGGACAAATGAGCACCCAATCACAGACCGCTACTCACTCGTGCAGATTTAAGATTTAGGATTAAACACCTACGTTCACTCGATCGTTTTGCTTGTATATATGTTTTTCTTTGTGTACACAACAATTAAAAAAAAAAACCTTTGACAGGCGAAAGCTAAACGACAACAGCCTCTACGCAACCCACATGCAACAAGTCTAAAATGTATGTTATGTATACTAACAACCCAGTCTTTTTCTGTACCAGGTCTAAAACATACTTGAAAAGATGGGCTTCTGCGTAAGCCAAAAATGCACTTACCTACAATGTCTGTCAATGCAAAAATAAAGAATTGAAAAAAAAAAAAAGAAAACAAGACTTCTCCATACACTTCCTGACAATCTGAATGCTTTAGTAAATGTATGTGGCTTAGGCTTACAACCATTAAGATACACTACTTACCTTTTACATGCAGATGAATGGCTATATTCAGAAACACAAACACCTTTGGCATATCATTTATGTTTCACAGAGCCTAGAATGCACAACACTGCCTTGACATAGATTATTGCTATGTGAATTATTTATCAGCTCAAAATCAAAGTGGCAATATATTTTGACTTACAAAAAAAAGTTAAACCTCCTCTATGGATTACAGGTTATCCCAACCCTCACCTGGACAGCAAAGGGCTTTTTTTTTTTTTTTTTAGGTCATAATGGGAATTAATCCATGGTTAAGTAATGAATTAAATGAAGACCTGTGTTTTACGCACAATGCAGCTTTTCTCATCATCTTGGTCACTTTAAATACTAGCAACCACTTTTGCAAGTAAATGTACAAATGTATGGGCTTCCAAAGACAGTCATATGTCAAAGTCATTTGTGCACTTTATTCATTCGCTTTTTCAGACTTAGAGAACATGCTTAAGTATGATTTTATATGTGTGCACATATTAAGTAAATTCCCAATAGAAATAAATTAATGAACTGGCAGAGAGGTTTAAAGGTTTGGCTAAGAAGTGCTGAAGCATAAGAGAAGGGAGTGAGGACATAGCATGCACGCAGATGCATAGGAGCTAGAGATGCATGGGACCCTGTGAATCTACAAGCAGAAGGATGTCACAAGGTAGTTGGAGACACCAGGAACTTCAGTAACCGGTTGTCAGGGTTCTCACCGTGACATCCAAATGTGGTCACCATTGCTGTGCTTCACCCGACCCTGATCAGACATCGGCTATCCCTTGACTATCCTGCTGTTTGTGTCCTTGCCTGTACTGCAACTTGGAGCTTTATCCTGCACCGCCCCCATGCACAGATTCACAGTCCAGGTGGTTTGCTATCTGGCCACCTTGGACTGTGTCTATTTGCAAGGGTGAGCAACATATCTGCGCTACAGACTTCCATCTCAGGTAGGATCCTGATACTGGTAGGCAGGAATACATTTCAGACCCACGTGTGAGGAAACAAATTGGGACGATTGGGGAGCTAAAGACGGCAGTGTTCTGCCTGGAATTCATACCCCTAACCTGGTGAGTCTACGATAAGGAGATTCCAGAGCAATGAGTTGCTGCTAATGGATTGGAAGCCCCAGAGAAGTGGACATCCTTCACTCAAACGACATAAAGAGTTGAGTAATATATAATTCATCTATTAACTGCATTTCATTGCACCTTGCCACATTTTTCTGGTTTTCTGCCTTCTCTTTTTTCTCTGCAATGTGTGGCTAGTATCACCTGACTAGCTGTAGAAGAAAGTCTTATATTTATTGTATAGAAGAAAGTTTAACATTTATTTTTTAATTATATACTTGCTTTTCCTCTGAAATATGTGGCTTGTACCACTTGACTGGACATAGATGAGTCCTACATATAATTTCTTAAGTATATACTAAGTGAAGCATATATCTTATCCAAAGGAGAGTCATCTTTTGATTGCATTTTATTGTAACCTGTTTCTGGTTTTTTTTTTTTTTTTTTGCAATCTGTGGCTTGTATCACCTGATCGGTTATAGAAGAAAGATCTACATATTATTTTCTAAGTATATACTCATTTTTCCTTCTGCAATTCATGGCTTGTATCACCTGACTGGTTACAGAAGAAAGTCTTATATAATACTTCTTAAGTCTATACCAAGTGGAGCATTCATTTTCCCATATAAAGGAGAGAGTCTTATTTAATATATGAACAACTAATGTGTAGCTCTGTGCTTAAAGGTAAACTTGCGCTTAAAGAGTTAAAGTGACACAGCAAGTAAAATAACTTCTTTTCTACTAAGGAGTCAAATACATTGGCTTATAACTCTGAATAATGGCCTCAAAAAAGAATCCTTAAAAAAAGATAAAAAAAGAGATCAAAGATATCAGTCTGAAAAAAGGCTGTCAATTTTTTTAACGCCACAATCTCCATGCGTGGGGGAAATAAGTGAAGGTGCCTCATTTATTCAAGATGAAGATAGAGAAAACAATACCCTTTCCGTTAATGAGATGCAGGCAATGTTTTCTGTAATCTTGGAAAAAAGTCAACAGCCATTACTTGAAAAAGCTTAGAGCTTCAAAATAATGTTAAAGAGATAAAAAGAAAAGGTATTGCTGCAATATGCCAAAAAAATACAAATATTGAATAAAGGCTGGAGACTTTGGATTTTCAATAAAGCAAGATGCAAATACAATATGATCAATTATCTAGAGGGACTAGTAGCTCAGCAAAGGGAATTAGGTTGTTGAACTTGTTAAATGACACCTTCATGTCACAACTGGTACAAGCACCAACTAGAAAGGACGCGTGTCTGGACCTGGTTCTGACAAACAACGTTGACCTTTTGACCAACATTCAAGTAGGTGAGCACTTGGGAAATAGTGATCACAATATAGTGTCCTTTGAAATAAACGGAAAAAAAAAAACCAAAAGCACATGGTGTATACTAAAACATATAATTTTAAAAAGGTCAATTTCTATAAGTTAAGGACAGCTTTACAATATATTGACTGGTATAAACTCTTCAGTGAAAAGAACACTGAGGATAAATGGAACATCTTCCAACAAATATTAGAAAGGAACATTTCTCAGTATGTACCATTAGGTAATAAATATAAAAGAAACAAATTGAAACCACTGTCGCTTAGTAGAGAAGCAAAACAAGAGATTAAAAATAAGAAAAGGGCTTTTAAAGAATTTAAATCTGACAAATCAGATGCATCCTAGAAAAGATATAAGGAAGCCAATAATGCGTGCAAAAAGGCGCTGAACTTCAATATGAAAAAATGATAGCCAGAGAGAGCAAAACTAACCCCAGAGCATTCTTTAAGTACATAAATTCTAAAAAAAAAAAAAAAAAATGAAAGTAGGTACACTAAAAATTGGAATGGGGGTGGTAGTTAATGAAGACCAGGAAAAGGCAGAAATTTTAAATAACTATTACTCCTCAAGATAAGGTGCTGCAGCAACTAAAGAAAGTTAATATAAACAAAGCTCCAGGGCCTGACGGTATTCATCCACAAGTACTTAAGGAACTAAGTGTAGAAATAAGTGAACCTCTGTTTTTAATCTTTCAAGATTCTTTTCTTTCAGGAAGTGTTCCGGAGGATTTGAGGAAGGCAGATGTGGTTCCTATATTCAAAAAGGGTGCAAAATCCTTGCCTGGAAATTATAGACCTGTGAGCTTAATTTCTGTGGCTGGAAAAGTATTTGAAATGTTATTAAGGGATAATATTCAAGAATTCCTTTAGAAGAACATGGTTATTAGCAAAAATCTGCATGGTTTTATGAAGCACAGGTCATGTCAAACTATCTTGATTGCATTCTACGAAGAAAAAAGTAGCAATATAAAACAGGGTGTTGCAGTGGATGCAATCTATTTGGATTTTGCCAAGGCATTTGATACATTATATAGTTCCACACAATAGATTAGTGTTCAAACTCAAAGAAATCGGTCTAGATTAAAATTCTTGTTCTTGGGTAGAACATTGGCTTAAAAATAGAGTACAAAGAGTTGTCATTAATGGTAAATTTTCAAACTGGACATAGGATAGATAAAATAATCCATAACGATAAAATGTATAGATCTCCTAAAGAGATTGGCCACAATTTTAAAAGCTATTATAAAGCACTATACCATTGCTCTAAAACGCCTAATCCTTTTAATTTTGATCAATTCTTGTATGGTATTCATGTTCAAAAAGGCTTTATTCAAACATAAGCATTTCAGGATATACCCTGATCCCTGCACATTAGCAGGTATCAATAGATTGAACAAGTAAATAACATATAACGGACTCGCAGGTCCCAACATTAAGTGTGTAAACAGCACTCAAACAATGTTACATATTATTTCTATATGACATTTGGTCGCATTTAACACGTTAAGACATACATATGAGTGATCGGATTGCAGCTTGAGTAGAGGGATATTCATAAGTTTGTGCCTTGCGTCTGTTTTATGTGATCCTCTAGTATTTCCTTATCACCCGTGAGCCTCATTCTCTTTGGGGTAGTAAGGTCTATTGGTCCGTCGTCATAGGTCAGATGTCGTTCAGGGACGTGTCTTATTCGTGTTGTGTAGTCGCGTGATGAAGGTGTTTGTGTCCAGTTTGACGTGCAAGCGTGAGTGAATGACACAATTGTGGGCAATCTCGGATTAAGGTGGGCTACGTTTATCATGTAATTTATAATGAAGCCATTGTTGGAGAGTTTTAGAGAGAAGATGAGTGTTAATTGAGTAAGAAGTAAGAGGAAGAGAGAGGGGGGATGAAGAGGGGGGAGCTGGGTGGGGGGTGGTTGATCAGGGGGGGAGAGGGGGGATAGGGGGGTATGAAGGGAAAGGTGGTCCCGTCATCCGTGACCACGGCGTAGTATGTATCGGACCAGGCATCAGTCCCCGTCTGTGGGGGGTCCTGGGGCTCCTTGAGGCTGCGAATGGCCGTTCCTATCTGTGTGTCGGTCCGCTATGTAGAGTAGCCACGGGCGCCACCTCTCCACATGCTTGTCCTCTAGTCCTCGAAGTGTAGCCTGTATTGATTCCGCTCTATATATTTCTTCCACCCGTTCCATCCATTGTCTTATCGTCGGGGTATTTGTTTGTTTCCAGTATAATGGAATTAGTGCCTTGGCTGCGTTGATTAGGTGTCTACGGATGTTTTTCCTGTATGTGCCTATGGGATCCGGTGTTGAGTGTAGGAGGACTGCCTCTGCGTTGAGGTTTCCTTCCGTCCCTGTGATATCCCTTATTTTCTGTAGGACTTCGACCCAGAATGGCTTAATGAGTGAGCATTCCCACCATATATGTAGTGGCGAGCCACGCTCATCTCTGCATCTCCAGCATATGTCAGGCACATTCGGGAAGATCCTGTGTAGACTGTCGGGCGTTCTGTACCAGAATGAGAGAAGTTTATAGTTGGTTTCTTGATATTGGGAGCTCGATGAGCATTTATGGTGTAATATGAGGATCTTTTCCCATTGGGATGTGGTGAAAGATGTATTTAGCATGCGTTCCCAGCGTCTGCGGAATTGGTCGTTGTTAGTGAGGTGCCCCACGAGCATGTGTTGGTATAGCAGGGATATCGCTTTACCTAGAGTAGTCTTGTGATCGCAGAGCGTTTCGAACCATGTCAAGTCCCTGTGTAACTTTTCCTTGTCTTGAAGTGTCCGGTAATATGTCTTGTATGGTATTCAAACACCTAAAATTAGTCTAGAACAGAAAGCATCACTTGACAAAATCATCCATCTGAACAAGTTTATTAAGGCCATCAATACATAAAAAAAATGTAAAAGACCCTGGTCCGGATGGTTTCAGTGCCCACTTTTATAAAGATTTTAAAGCAAAAATAGCTCTCAAATTGTTACAAGCGTTTAATGATTATATCAATCAACCTAAATGCCAGGCAGAATTTCTGGCAGCTAATATTCTTCCAATACTCAAGCAGGATAAGGATCTAACGTCTCTAAAAAAATTACAGACCGATATCTCTTATTAATACCGATGCTAAAGTTTTTGCTTCCACTATGGCGGACAGACCTAAGCTGGTTATTGTTCAGGTTATCTCTAAGGATCAAATAGGTTTTATCCCTGGTCGAAGCTCTATAAATAATATCCGAAGGATAATTGATATTCTCGACATAGCTAAGAAAGAACATAAAGAACTAGTTATTACTGTGTTAGATGCAGAAAAAGCTTTCGACCGGGTGGATTGGGGCTTTATGATGTGGTGTTTACAAAGATTTGTCAATAAAGGCTTTAAGTAGTGCACCCATTGCAAGAACTATCGGGCAAAACATATGTGCTGAATGGTTCAATCTGGGGAATGGCACAAGACAGGGTTGCCCACTGTCTCAATTATTGTACCTTTTAACAATTGAAATATTGGCAATTCGTATAAGATCAGATGGAAACATTTGCGGATATGACCTATCCCAGAAAGAATACAAGATCAGTATGTACGCTGATTCTTTTGATCCTTACGAGGCCTGAGCGGTCACTGCCCGCTATGATGGAAGCAATTTATAAATGCTCTGAAATATCTAATTGTAAATTGAATTCTGATAAAACAATAATCATGGCCCTTAACACAGAGGATTAAAAAAAAAAAAAATGGCTCCGTCAATACTTTGACTGTTTTTGGACCGAAGAGTTTACTTACTTGTGGATTAAGATCACTCCAGAAGTAGGGAACATCTTATAATCAGATTTTTTGGCCTTACTTAAACAGACAAACTAAGCTCTAAAAGGATGGAAAAACAAAAATCTTTCTTGGGTTGTGTAGAATATTGCATATTCTGTATGTTCCTATTCAAATACATATTAAGGTGTGGCTGTCTAATGGGTTAAACAGAACAGATGGTGTTTGCTATTCTGTAACATGAGGTCTCTGGAATTTGCTGTATAAGAGATCTGAGGCGGTCTTTATATAGGGAACTTCCTTATATAGCAGGGTCTAAATTAAACATTATGATGTAATTTGGGGTATATAGAGCCAAGGACAAAGGATTACAGTCTCTTCCTGCTACGATCCGTTTGCTCTCCTCTCTGATGTCAAGACGACTCTCTGTAACGTCGTTAAGATTTACCATCTGTTAAGTATAAGATTGTTTGCTGTTGAATGTAGAATAAATACTTATTTTTTATAAAGAACGTCAGATTGCGTATTAGTACTTTTCAATAATATAGACATATATTATTGTGGCGAGCCTGACCCAAAAGAAGAAATATATATATATATGTATATATATATATATATATATATACATAAAAGACTTATTCTAATTTAGAAAAACACAGCCAGTTATTACAGGTTGGAAGGATCAATACAGTCAAAACGTATATTATTCCCAAATGGCTATATATGTTTAGACATCTCCCGAGTCAAATACCTGAAAGTTGGTTAAGTTTAGCTCAGAGATCTATCTCTCTATTTGTTTGGCAGGGCAAAAGACCCAGTATTAGTAGTAAGAAGATGGCATTACAAGTGAAATATGGAGGTCTATGTATGGCAATATTTATAAACTACTACTTAGTTAATATGATTGGCCACATATATCTGATGCAGACATGCGAAGAAAACTGCTTTCAAATTGAATTACATCTGACTCAACAGTGGGATCTTAGCAGCTTCATATAGGAGAACCAAAGTTATAGATGGCAAGGATCTTGGTGGAAAATGCTTTGTTTTAGGACATTTATTTAAGGTCTGGGCTCAAATAAAGAAAAAGCTAGGAGTACAGAATAAAATAATTTTATAAATACTATTGGCATTGGCGTATTAGCCAAAAATATTCCCGATCTAGTTATAGGTAAATGGATTGAATCTGGTATCCTCAGGATAGCTGACCTTTACACTAATATAACAGTGAAATCCTTTTTTGAGTTAAACTTAGAATATAATCGCCTCATTAAGGAAATGTTCTCCTTTTTAAGAATTAAAGGCTTTTTACAACAAACAGCTGCAAGTGGTGATGAACATAATAAAAAAAAAAAAAAAAAGCTTTTCTGTGAGAAATTAGTGTCTAAGGTTATGTCAACGGCATATTTACGGATTTCTTACATAGATCGAGGAGACGGTTATAAGAATATAGAGAAATTGAATAAATTACTTGATATAGACATAAATTGTGAAGAATGGCTTTCAGCCATAAAAATTATAACAGTGATATCTATTACACTAATCAGGGGCGGCTCTTTAATTAGGTGGGGTTTTTTTTTTTTTTTATTCTTTATTTTAGTTGTGCATATGATAATAACAGTCGCTTGTGAGGTACCCCAAAGGCAGTCCTCTAGCGCATGATAAACAGTTTAAACATTAGGGTAGACTTTGGATCCAGCACATTTTTTGGGGTTAATAATGTTATGATCAGTATATATTTACTTTGCTTAAGCATTTCAAAGCATAACACGGAACAACATCGCTTGTATCTTTCTAGATAGCAGGGTTTTACGCTATGTCATAAGCTAGTCAAACAGAAAATAATTACACTAAACTTACATGAGCAAGAGTAAAGTAACACAGTATATAATTAGGAGTTTGCAGGCTATAATCACAGAAGTATTTGGTCACTGATTGTTACTGATTTAGTTCACTGCACTGTCTAGAAACTACACTTTAGCATCGAGATATGCATGCTTGTGAGACGTGTGGTAGGTGCTAATATGGACATGCACAAAAATGTTTGTATTTCATACATCATGCAATAAACGTTTAAACATTTGTTGATTCGCAATGCCTCACTGTTACTTATAGCTAGAGTATAAACAAGTTAGGCTATGGCATATGGTAGTTGAGTGTATTTTCGACACGCCAGGTCATGTATACATATAACTTCGAGTGTCATAGCTAAGTACACTTTTGCTTATAGTTAAATATGCAGGTCTCATGTTAAACATAATAAGAGAAAATAGTAAAATAAAATAAGAAATTAGGAAGGCTTGTTACTCGTGTTATAGACTGAAGCTTAAGGCATATTGGTAGTATGACCTATATGTGGGGGGGGGGAGGGGGATGCTGAGATATGGGACTCAAATCTTAAACAACTTAAACACTTTAGAGCTCTGTTAGGCAAGTTAGTCTAAAGGGACATTGCTTGGCTTATTTGACTGACATTGACCATTAGGGATAGCATACCAAAAGAGTAAACATGCTTGCACTTAAATAAACAAGGTTGGTACAATATAAGCAGGATAGTGTCCGCTGGGGTGGGATGGAGGTGGTGATAAGGCAGCAGGCTAGCCCCCAATGCATTCCCGAAAGTCAGCCGACTCCCATAGTCGGTATGTTTCTGGTGCCTGCAAGTGAAGCGTGGGTGGTGCTCAAAGGTAGTGTCCACAGGTCATAAGTGGTGCTCAGAGGCAATGTACACAGGTCAGTATTGCTTCTCCTGGCTGGGGTCTGTATGCGCGTGTGGTAGTGGACTCGCCGTACTGTTCGGGCGTTCCGGCTGCGGCTCGATTTCCCCAGTCTCTGGCTCCGGGCCTTAGCGAGAGCCCCCGCATTCTGACCATGGAGCCTTCCAGACACGGTGGTTGGCTCAGGGGCCCGCGGGTTCTCCCTGTCCCGGGTGTCCCCACGGGTGTTTGGACGGCATGGGGTAAGCCCCTGATGGGCTCCCAGCCCAGAAGAATGCCGGGTAGTCAGGGCGGCAGCTTTGTACGCCTTTTTGATGGGCGCTGCTGGTTTGGTTTTTGGTTTGGGTTTACAGACCTCCCTCAGGTTTTGCACTGGTAGGCCCGAGTTGCTCTGTTTGGGTTGTGGCTCGGCGGCCCTCTTGGTAGCGCCATGCTTGCTGCTTTTACGCCTCTCGCTTATTTGTGGTGAGGCCGTCGGTTTCATTTTAGCCTCCAGCTTGCGCCAGAAAGTGTCAAAGAGTGCTTCCAGTCTTTGCCGGGTCCCATACTGTGGGTCTGTAGGTTCAAGGGGAAGCGTGGCGTCCGCCATGTTGGGTGCAGCGTCTTGTTGCATGCTTCCCCGTGCTTTTCCCCACTGTTGCCGCTACAGTCTCGTTTTGTCTCTCAGGTGTGGACC